TGTTTTTTTTTTGAACGTATGAATGGAATCTTAAATAAATATCGGGCTATTATTATATATATATCATGTGTCAAATTTGAAAGAGTGTGGGTTTAGATTTGAGTTGTGTCAGATCAAAATTTGAATCTGGGATACATCAGACTAGTTTATGGTTTATGCATCAGATTGAAATGTGCATAATAAATGTAGTAATAATATTGATAACGAAAAATGCGTATAATAAATGTAATCATAATGATAACGATAAAATAAATAAAATTTTTTTTTCGTTTGAACTAGTTAATAGTTCTTTCCTTTGCAATAACATTGTGTATTTTGCATTAATATGGAATATTCATTTATATCACAGCAAACTTTTGATGATTTGGTTAAAGAATATATTAAAAGTTTGGCACCAAATAAAAAGGAAAAAGCATTAATTGATCAGAAAGTCCTTCTTGATCCTATGAATACCACCCAATATACATCTGCTTTTCGTTATTGAGTTAAAAAAAAATTTAAATTGCAACAAATTGGCGATTCCTATATTGTTCTTCACATCCGAACACAAAATAAAAAAAATAATGAAAAGGTTAAAATTGAGCTTCCCGTACTAGTTGTAAAAAACATGTATAAAGAATTTTGCAAGATACACGCAACAATTACCCAGCATGGTGGTCAAAAAGAAACATGTAATTAAGTTAGTAGTAAATAGTGATATTGCCAACAGGATCTTGTAGAAAAATTTGTGAAACAATGTACTGTTTGTGCAGCAAGGCTTACACGAATTCAACTACTAGCTAGGATTCCAATTATTGAGCGAAAATTTATATCATGCTTACAAGTAAATTTTTTAACATTAATGTTTTATAATTATTTATTATAATAATTTATTTATTTTTTTATTTATATTTTTATTTTATTTTTTATTTTATTTTATTTATTTTTATTTTATTTTTTATTTTTAATTTTTTTTTAACAGATTGATTTAGTTGATATGACCTTTAAGCATAATAATGAATTTAAGTATATTGCCCATTTGTATGATCATTTTACCAGGTACTCCTGAGCTCATGCACTTACCTCCAAACGAGCAATAGAAGTAGCAGCTTTTTTGTTCGAAATTTTTACTACATTCGGGCCACCTTTAATCCTTCAATCTGATAATGAAAAGGAGTTCGTTGCTACAATAATTATTGAATTAGTTCATTTATGGCCTACAATTCAAATTATTAATAGAAGACCAAGATATTTTGCTAGTCAAGGTTTAGTTAAGCGGGTAAATGAATTCTTGAAACAAAGTTGAGAAAGTGGATGGAAGACAATAAGCATCAGGATTAGTCGTTTGGGTTGAGATTTGTAATTTACGCGATGAATAACTCAATTTGTAGAGCATATAATAAGAAACCTTATAAGCTTATATTTGGTGGAACTCCATATAGTCATTCTGCTGCACTTGATCAGTTGCTTGAAACTAGTGTTTTTTCCAAAGATAAAATTCCAAATGAATTTGGATTAGAAAATATTCAGGAATCAGTTAACGATTTGGATGATTTAATTGATAACATTAATTTTACACCTATAATAGCAACTGAGCTCATCATGAAAATTTTTAAGGGGATAGGTAACGATTATAATCGGGAAAATTGATATATATCGATGGCAATTAATCGATTATAATCAACAAGGGGGCTATACATCGATTTGTAACACTATCGATTATACTCTATTATAAATATATAACGATTATTATCAATTATAATTGACAGAGTAAAAAATCGATTAAAATTGATAGTATAAAAAATTCGATATTTTTAGCAAAACTTTGAAGACAAATATCTTAATAACTAGTGATTCAAATCGGCTTAAATTTTTACCAATATTAGATATTATATTAATCTATAAAATATTGAAGTTTCGTTTAATTTGGCTTAGTAGTTCTCAAGAAATCACTTGTATACGATAGTCAATTTTTTTAAAAATATTGACTATCGTATACAAGTGATTTCTTGAGAACTACTAAGCCAAATTAAAAAAAACTTCAGTATTTTATAGATTAATATCAAATCTAATATTGGTAAAAATTTGAGCTGATTTGAATCACTAGCTAATGAGATATTTGTCTTCAAAGTTTTGCTAAAAATATCGAATTTTTTATACTATCGATTTTAATCGATTTTTTACTCTGTCAATTATAATTGATAATAATCGTTATATATCGATTAAATCACCCAGATATGTATCGATGCATAGCACTTAAAAAATTTTTCTGATACTTTCAAGTTTAGTGTTAGATCAAGATTTAAATATAGAAACACTAAACAACTTAGTTAATGATAATGACGATCATGACATGGTAATGGTATATAAGTCTAATTTTGTTAGCATGCATATTTATTTATTTCTATATTAATATAAACAAGATAACTACGTATACTAATATTAATTTAATAAATTATACTGTATAGTCATTACAAGACTTAACAAATCAACTATTAACAGACACCAAGTTTTAAGAAACTTCGCTTGTCAGAATTTAGAAATCTATATAACAAAGATGATATTTGCAATAGTTGCAAAATCAAAGCGTAGATTGGAATATGAAATTGGAAAATATGTGAAAATTCTCATACCTAAAATTGATCGATTTGGCACAGATCAGCCCATCCTTCCATGCAGAATTTTAAATAAATTAAATCATAATGATACATTTAAATACCATCTTGGGTGCAAAGACGGCACATTGAATAATCTATATTGTGCAGGAGAAATGGAACCATTAGGTGTACGAAAATTTCCGGAGTTAGAAAATATCCTAACAAATTATATTTCTGTTAGAGAAGCAGCACAAAGCCAGAATGCTGGTACACTTACAAGAACAATGTACAAATGTAAAAGTAGCTGTAGTACTATAAATGTCGTTGCAAAAAAGCTGGTGTTAAATGTGAAAGTAAATGCCATAGTGGAAATACATATGATAACAAAGCTCAAATTTAAAATATATATTAAATAAATTATTTGTTATTTCTGCTTTATATGTAATTGATGATTTTAATTTGATGCAAAACATAAATTTGAATCTTACACATCTCAAAATTAAAATTCAATCTGACGCAACTCAGTTTTAAACCCACGCACATTCTAATTTCACGCATAACATATATATTATATTGTATAAAAATACTAACCAATATATATAATTTATATTTTATAGGCTCATATAAGACCAGCCATAGGAATATAGAACCAGAACTTTTGAGAATTATTCTCACAAATAATTCTTTGGATGAAGTTGTATCAAATGCTGAAAAAAATATCAAATTATCCTATTCTCTAATAATATTAAAAGGAAGAATATCAGGTGGTAGCATAGACATTTTAGATGAATTTGAAACACAAGATCTTCTTCAATTTTATTATTGATCAAGGAAAATCTTTTGGCTATAAACCATTTCCTGGTATATTTCTTGATCTAAAATCGGAAAATACCATTTTACAAAATGATATTTTAGACCTTTTAGTCGAATTTTATAACAATGGAGTAACAGGTTATCAATTTACCACT